CCTTAGTAGCCCTAGATCGTTCAGATGAAAATGGTTTTTTAGAAAAGTACCCACTTCCTCAATCTTGCCTAACCTTTTTGACCCGATGAATATCGTCCACATAGACGATAAGGTAAATTTCCTCTTCATTTTCCGTCTTTACATATAGACACGGATCTGCTTCGCTCTGTTTGAAACCGTAATTTCTTAATATTTTGTTTAACTGATCGTTCCAAACTTTTGCCGCCTGTTTCAAACCGTAGATTCTCTTCTTCAGTTTGCAAACATAATCTTCTTTGCCAGATACAATATACTCTTCAGGCTGCTGCATGTAAATGGTCTCAGATAATTTTCCGTTTAAAACTGCTGTTTTTGCGTCGAAGTGCTTTACAACCATATCCTTTTGACCTGCTAAGGTTAAGAAAGTCCGGAAAGTTGTTTGTCGCACCACCGGTGCGAACACCTCACCGTGCCATACTTTTGCGAGAAACCCCGGGCGTTCCAAGTCTAGCTTTATACCTGTCTATTTTACCGTTCCGTTCAGTCAGCGTTCCGTTTTAATTTAAAGACCCATTTGCAGCTGATAATATCCCGGTCCTTTGGCTTAGGTACAATTTCCAACGTACCATTTTTCATTAAGGAGGCGATTTCCTCGTCCATGGCTTCCTTCCACTTGTCTCTATTAGGCGCGGATAACGCTTCCCTTACGATTCGTGGCTCATTTTCTTCGTCTGTGACCATATGTAGAGAAGCTTGGTACCTGTCTGGTGGCGCACTTTTAGTGGACCTTTTCGAGGTGCGCCTGCATGGTTCAGACCTTGTTTCTTGTTCTCCTGGTTCTTCTGATGATGCTTCCTCCGGTCCATCATCTTCCGTGATTTCTTCATCAGTTTCCCTTCCAGGGATCCAGAATCCCTCTGGTTTCCTTTACTTGAATATATTACCTCTTCAGCTACCGTATGGGTCTGTTTATTTTTGCCAACTTTGTCCGGAAAAATCACGTCCCGGCTGATCTTTACTTTATTCGTTTTGGTATCCAGCAATCGAAATGCCTTAGATTCTTCGGAATAACCAACGTCCAGCCTTATCGTCCAATTTCCGCCTTTGTTCCTTCGGAATATGTGCATAGGCATCGCAGAAGGTATGCAGGTTTCCAACGTTCCAATTTAGAATACCATAATTCATATGGCGTTTATGCGGTAGCCCTCGTTGGTAGTCTATTCTGCAAGAAATTAGCGTATTTACCGCCTCTGCCCAGTACCTTTTTTCCATGTTTGCATCTAGCAGCATGCACCGTGCCATTTCAAGAAGTGATCTGTTCTTGCGCTCTGCGACGCCGTTTTGTTGCGGAGAGTAGGCTGTATACTGGATCCGTATTCCCTCCTTCTTTAAATAACTTCGCAAACTATGGTTTATGTATTCCCGACCGCGATCCGATCTTATTACCTTTGGTCGTTTCTAATGTTGCGTCTTCATCATTTCCACGAATTGTCGAATACATGCATCCGTTTCATTCTTGTGACCCATAAAGTAGACACTGGTATACCGCGAAAAATCATCGATAATTGTTAAAATATATCTTTTATTTCCTGGTGTCGGTGTCTGCATGGGTCCACAAAACGTCCGTATGAATGAGCTCTAAGATCGAATTGCTTTTGGTACTTGTCTCTTTCGGGAACGGTATACGTGTCATCTTTCCTTTGACGCAGCACTCACATGTCACTCGTTGTCCACAGTCCTTAATTTTAATGCCGGTCGCCAATCCCTTTTCGGCCAAACCTTTTATTGCCGTTACGTCACGATGTCCAAAACGTCGATGCCACGCATGCTAACATATTTCTGTGTGACCCGAATTTCCGGCACTGTTCACTGCATAAGCCCTTTCAGCTGTCTTGAGCTCAAATAGATCTGGGGATAACTTCGCGGTTGCTCGTAAATTTTTGTCCTTTATTATTGTGCATTGGTCGCCTTCGAAGGTTAATGTTGGAATTTATGGCCTTCCTTCACCAGCTTCTTGACCGATAGCAGGTTAGACCCAAAGGTTGGCACGGAAGCAAAGAAGCTTCTACTTTCAAAAGTTCATTTTATTCTAAATTACTTTTATCGTTTCTGCATTGAATAGCGGGCGGAAAATTGAAGATTCATTTTCTGTTGACAGCGCTATAAATTGTCATGGAAACATAAATGAAAATTTTAAAATAATATCTAGAAATACTGAAAAACATGGCCGTAAGGAAAAATGCCTCATATAGCAATTTCAAGAAATGTATATTTATAAATTAATTGAATTATAGAGCATAAAATTTATGACTTTACTACGAAAACATTCTTGGTTGTACAAACAGATTTTGGTTGTGCTATGTAATAC